CAACTCAGACTCAGCCATCTTTGCAACCACACAAGCTGCCTCCAATTCGCCTACCGCACCTACTGTCGGTGATAATACTGCAGCTACGGCTTCAACGCCCTCGCGCCCTGACGTAATACTCAGACGGGCTGGACTCTGGACTCGCTTCTGGCTCTTCATTGGTTGTCTGTCTCCTGAATACCAGGATGGTCGTCATTAGCATACAATTTCCTCGTCCCCTACGATGATTTCTCGCTCGCCTCTAAAATATCACACCTCACGTCGATAGAGTCTGTTTGTTTGCTATGTTTCGATCGTCCTTTTTCGATACGACACGCTAAGCTCTGGATTGGATTGGTATTCGCTTACTTCTCCGTTTATAGTTATCGCAAACTGATTTACTTTGGGGTATTTGTGTGAGCAATCAGACGATGATTCATTAGATGTTTGTGGTGGATCTGATATATTCCCCTACTTCAATGTAGTATCGCAAAACGGGACTTGGGCTGATTTTGGGCTGTTGTGTGATCGCGTCTTAAACGGCATGTACGAGCGTCCACTCTGTCGCACCAGGCGTCTCGTCTCGGTTTTGCCTGTTGCCAATATACTTGCTCCCCCTATCCATTCGCAAATGTTCGTTAGCCACATCGATGTGATCAAGTCTCTTCTTCTCCAACAAAGGCACGTACTTGATACTGCGCTTCTATGTCCTTGCGCCGAGTAGGACACCAAGAACCCGTTCTCGGCAGGTTCGAACGAGGGAGTATGAGGTATCAATCCTGTCTGGCTGAAAAATAAGTACGTATTCAGGTGATGGAGATGAATTAATGATATTGGGTGGCAGTTTGTAGGAAGTGTTTGTCTGGGAGGAGGAGGAGGTGGATGAGGGGCGTAACAGATGGAATGGAGTTGGCGATCTCTGTACCGTCGTCGTCCATTTGCCATGTGACATCTGAGTTGTGTGCGTAATCCCGAGTATGAGAGGTAAGGGTGTCTGCCATCTGATACTCGGGTTTGCATACACGAAATCTGACTCTACGATATCGAATACGCACACCTGAGTATCACCATAGACTCTGGAGACACGGGATTGATCGACAATGATCTGTGCGCGCATAACGCAGCGTAATCTATTTTCCTGGATCAATTTTCGAAAGCACGTAAGTGTGATCCTGGCCCACGAGACAGCTACCTATCCGCGAGTTCGTCTCGTCGACGTTAGCATGTCCCTGGATCTACCGGGCAGTCAGTGTAAAGCGGCCTGCTACTTCTCGCTGTTTCGTTAAATAACCGGTCAGATCACGGGCGCTAGCATGCAGGCAACGCAACTCATCTTTCCATTCGACAGCAGTAGACATTGAGGACGCACGAGAACGCTTCACAGCGAACGGTCTCTCGTCTTCCCTAGTAGTTGAAAACTAGATAATTATGGACTGAAGCTTAATGGAATGTGATCAGATGATGCTTGGGCGCATCAGCTGCACAGCCCACCATGCTGTGTATAAGCTGTCAAGCAAACAGGAGGATAGGGCATATAAAACCGTACCAGGAAGCAGTGAAGTCAACTCTGGACTGGACAGAAACGCCCACTGTGCCCTGCTATTCGCTTGCGCTGTTGACAGTTGTCTTCGTAAGTGATGATTTTTGAATTTGAAGAATGAAAGCTGAGATGGCGCTGCACTCAGTAGTAGGAATTCTTCAGCATGTCTTCACCCACTACTAAAACGAAAGAAAAATCAACGATAAAACCCCACCAAAAATTTGTAGGACACACTGGTGCTGTCTGGGACGTCACACACCTGCCGGGCGGACAGCGGATTATCACTTGTCCATTGGAAGGCTCGCTCCGAGTGTGGAACTTGAAGAGCGGGAGAACAGATAGGGGAAGACTGGAGAGACGGAAATATGTGCAGTGTACAGTATAGCGCTGTCCCCGGACGGAAGAAAGTGGTTAGCGGGAGTTCGACGGTGCAGTGAGGTTGTGGGATATCAACACATGCAAAGTCATCGCGAGATGGACGGGACACACACAGGCTGTAAGATCTGTCTGCTGGAGTGGAGATGGTCAAAGTGTGTTAAGCGGATGCCACGATGGGACTGCAAGGCAATGGGATGTGGAAAGCGGAGAGATCATCCTCGAACCGATCAAGACTGGGTGGAGTCCTGCGCACGCAGTCATCTATTCTCCAGACATGGCTTTGATTGCGACTAGTGGATCGGATTATGATGTTATTGAGCTGCACTTCATCAGCATCTGGGACGCAAAGACAGGCAAGCTTGTCGCAACTCTCAAGGGACACACAGGGGAAGTGATTTGCCTGGCTTGGACTGCGGACGGAAAAACGCTTGCCTCCGGGTCACGGGATGGCTCCGTTAGGACATGGAATACAACCAAGTGGGAGCAAATTGCAGTGCTGGATAAGCACACCCATGTTATCTTTGCCATTGCAATATCACCGAATGGCCGCATCCTCGCCAGTCCATCACGCGACAACGCAGTGCGATTGTGGAACCTCGACATGGACAGCTCATCAGTTTCACCATTCCCGCACACAACTCAAATTGACTGCATATCGTTTTCCGCAGATGGACAGCTACTAGCCACTGGCTGCTTGGACAAAAACGCGTACACATGGGATGTTGCTGCGATTGTTAAAAAGCCGGCCTCGACGACCTTCTTTCGGATCCAAAGGTGAGTTGACAGGCACGTCTTATTGTATTACATTCTCACAACTGAACGCACTCCGCCAGGTCAACAAGTCAGTACTCCATGTAGGTGACGCCTTCATTAGAAAATCTCATTGTGCTCAACATATGTACTCTAGTCTGATGCTACGCGACGTCCGGTTCAGCGACGTCCGCCTGCTTATCGGATACCCAAGGTTTTTTTGATGAAGATCGTTCTCAAGTACGTTCTTGCTATTAGTATCACTTCGTTTTTATTTTTCAATTTGTATCTCCAGTTCTCTGCACAAAGCGGCTCCCACTTCTCCTCAGAATCACAGGGAAGCACACTTCTTCATCGCTTATTTCGCCGCAGCCCCTCAAATGCCCAGGATACGTCACCGTCCTCCCCTCTCAAGTGGACTCAAGCCCTTTTGAAACGGCGTGGACAAAGTAGTGAAAGCACCGAGTTGCAAGGACGCAGTCAAGTCGTTGAAGTTCCGTGTGCACCAGGCCAACGTGTATGTTCCTTCTCTTTTTCAGTTCTACTCCACCTAATTTCACGTAGAGAAACGCTTGCGCTAGGGAGAAACGGAAAAGACCGTTGCCCTGGAAGAACCCGACTGTAAGCAGCTCACGGCCTCCCAAGCCCAATGCCACACAGCAATCCGGCACAGCGACTCAGACTCAGCCATCTTCGCAACCACAGCCAGTTGTCTCTACCGCACCTGCTGTCGGTAATAATGCCGCGGCTACGAGTTCAGCGCCCTCACGTCCTGATGTGATGCTCAGACAGGCTGGAATCTGGACTCGCTTTCTGGCTCTTCGTTTGTTGTCTGTCTCCCGATACCAGGATGGTCATCATTAGCCTACGATTTCTCCTGTCCCCTATGATGATTTTTCGCGCTCCTCTAAAATATTACACCTCTGTCGATGGGGTCTGCCTCCCTACTATGTTTCGAACTCTGATACCACTCGTCAAGGTCCGGATTAATGTATTCATATTCGCTTACTTCTTCGTTTGTAGTTGTCGCAAATTGATTTTACTTCGGGAATTTGTGTGAGATCGATATGACAATCATTAATCAGACATCTGCGATAGATCTGGTATATTCTCCTACTTCCATGTAGAATTGCAGAAACGGAACTCGGGCTAATTCTTGGACTGGTGTGTGATCGATAGCCTGGGCGATCATGTCTATGTAATTACTAATCGCTCTGCCCAACCGACAGCGATCACATCTTAAACGACATGCACGAGCATCTGCTCTGACGTGTCGTCTTGCTTGTGCTTCCTATACTCGCTCACCCTGCCTGTTCGCTAACGTGGCTACATCTATGTGATCGAGTGTCTTCCTCTCTAACAAAGGCACGTACTTTTCCGCCGCGCTTGAATGTCCCTGCACCGAGTGGACACTAAGGACCTGTTCTCGGCCCCAAATGCGAACGAGGGAGCGCGAGGTATCAGTCCTGTCTGACTGAAAAGGGAACTATTGAGGTGGTGAAGAATGATATTGGGTAGCAGCGATGAGGAAGTGCTCGCCGAGGACTGTGGATGAGGGATGGAATGGCGTTCATCAGCAAACCCTGATTTGGGTACAGCGCCACAGCCACACAGCGTGTCACAGGTCACATAGATTTTGTTGTAAAGGCTCTGCAGCACCACACAAGTATTGATTCTATGTAAAAATGAGTGTGATGTAGTCATAAACATGTATATAACAAGATGGTGTGCTAATAATCATGTTTTATGAGAAATTGTGTAGTGTGCAGCACTGTACAGCGCTGTACATGGGGGGACCTCGCTGTGACACTGTGATTGCTGTGCAGCGTTGTGCAGTGCTGCACATAGGGTTAGGGTTTTGCTGATGTTGGTGATCGATTGATCTCTGTACCATCGTCGTCTATTTACTGTGACATCTGAGTCGTATGTGAAGGGCGTCTATTATTTAATACTCGGGTTGCGTATAGGATATCTGACTCTACGATATCGAATATGCACACCTGATTGTCACCATGGACTCTGGAGAATATAAGCAATGATCTGTAAGCGCATAATTATAACGCGGAAGTAGTACGTAAGTAGGCGCAGTTGCCAACTTGGCGTCGAGCACGTTTCACATGTATAGTACTCTTTCCTTGTGCACACCATCATGCCTTCATCTTCAGAACAAGCTTCAGATCAAATCTCTCTCAGTTCCGCTGGGCCAGAGGCGTCACAGACGACTCTCAACAAACACAGCAACCACTCCCTCATCAAACCCATTTCCCGCTTCTACAACGCCCTAGCAGGTGACTATATCCCTCTCAGATCCGATGAACGCTCCACGAAGACGAGGCATGGTTTGCGCTATCCGTTGGGAGAGGTACGCGTTAAAACTTACCCATACCACCACTCTTCTCAACGCAGACTCCAATCTCCAGACTGCTCGGGTTTGGTGCATCCTTGTTAGGCGCAGCAGTCTGCTTCTTCGTCGCTTTCATGACCTCCCTTTCATTCGCCCTCAATCCCGCAAAATTTGCTTTGGCATTTAGGTATGCATAGGCCTTCGTTCTTCATCTTCCGGTCGATAACTCCCTCGCAGTTGGGGAGCTTGCTCGTGATGTTCGGGTATGTCCTGCCACTCCGTGTCGATCCGAGCGGTCATGTGATTATCATATTCAAGTTTCTCAGTCCTCATAGGACCATTAAACCATGCAAAACATTTAATTTCAAAAGAGCGACTACCATTCACCCTCGTCTATTTCTCAAGCTTGGGATTGACCCTCTATTTCTCCATCAGCGTGAGTCTAGTCCTTCACCTTGAGACTCCATTTCAAACTCCTATTAGGTTCACTCGTACTTGGGTTCGCTACTAGCAGGTGTCGTCCAGGTAGTATCTCTAGTAGCCTATGTCTTGGCGTACTTCCCAGGAGGTACACAGACATTACGCTTTGGTGGACAAATCGCTCTTCGTGGAGCAGGAAGCCTGCTACCTTTCTGAGTAACAGTGATGACAAAAACCCAATCAACACGACTGTATCCTCACATACAATACCTAATCTAGTGCTTGCTCCTTATTCATTCCCACGACGTCAATCAATCAATCATAGGCGCGGTGGGGTACTTTTGAAAACAACAAACAATGACAACAACAAATGATCTACTCCAAGCCTCATGCAACCCAACCGTCTCAACCTCCGCGACATAATCTCAATATATCCTTGGTATGACTGCCACTCACTTCCCAGCGTATCCACCGTCTGACAGGAACATCACCGTCATTAAAAGTCAGACGAGTTCAAGCTAGCGAACATACCAAATCCAACGTTGATAACCTCGCGAGAGCACCAATCAGTTTTTTGCCCGCATTCGCTTGAACGAGTCAGAGTCCGGGGTGGAAGAAGCTTGAGAGTGCTCTTCATATTTATGACCGGCGCCGAGGTTGCGCCGCTCGACAAGTCGCGCTCCACATAGCTCACGAGATGACGCCAGAGCAATAGTAATACCATCTCAGTAGTGCCTGTGTATGGTTCGTGAGTATTACCCAGCAATATTAGTATTTCGAGACAATTCTCACCGAGCATGTTTTTAACCTCATCTGAGCCTCGTTCCTGAACCGCTCATACTCTCTGAATATCAACGACCTTTTCTGTGCATGTCTAGATCTTGGAGGAATGCGGGATCAGACACGCTACGATCTGTGCAAATGTAATGTTCAAATCTCAAACAACCCTCGAGAAAGACACGGAGACGTACGTCTTGAATGTTGTCCACTCGAATATGGTCTCGTGAAGATAGTTCAGCAGACAAGTCAGCAATCTGTTTCAACGTCTCTGAAAGATCGTCGCAGAGTCCACTCAGCGCCTCAATAGCATCGCCGACCGTCGGTATCGTGGCTACACCAAGCCATATAAGCAGGCGAGGCGTGACATAGAGAAATTGACTACATACCTACGAAACGAGACGACCGTTCATCGTGTCGAGGAACTGTGACGACAGGAGAAAGCACCAGTGTAATCTCAGGCTCTACAATCAAAAGAAAAAGGTCAGACAAGCGCTCAAACCAAACATCAACCAACTAACCAGTGAATTCACTCGCAGTCCCAAGGTACTCCACGATAGCCTTGAGGAGCAACCGTTCTTGGCGCCTCAAACTCAGATCAAATTGACTAGTCGATCCCTGCCCGGATGCAAAGACGCTAGCTCGCAAAACCTCTGCGTCCGTCTGAGGTTTGATCGCTTGACTCCAGCTTCTGTTTCCCAAGCACCGCGCAGCAAGGCCTAATACAGCGCCATGAATACCACCAAACCCGGAATTCGTCGACATCTAGAACATCGATCATCAGTGGCGAAGCATATGCATGAACGGCGGCTTACCAGCTCAGATTTTGGAACGAGCGTCAGGACGCTCCTGCTCAGCGACACCACGAGGTGGATTTCTTGAACGATTGACAACCCAATCTCTTCAGAATCATTTTTGAGAAGAATGATGATCGTTTCTCGATGGCTTGATAAAAAGTCGAGTGCCTGGTGACAAGTCAAAGTCAATGCACATCCACCAGACAAAAGTCAGAAATCAATCGTACCTGACTACTCGCAGTAGCATGCTGAGCTCCCAAGGTCGTCAACATCGCAGCAACGAGCTGAAGTGCCGGCATGAACAGCTGGTGATATCGCTGAATCGCCGAAGGCAAGAAAGAGTCCTGGTCTTTATAAAACAACTCAGCACGTGAAACCCCTCCGAAGGAGACAAGGTAAACATACCCATAAATGACTGATCCGCTTCTGGTCTCGTATCCAGAAACTCGCATTGACTCAAGACCGGGAAAATCCGAGCTTCAAGTAACCGTTCTGCTCCCGGTCTCGTTTGTGCCATTCGTATCAAGAAGGACATCTTTGACTCGTAAACATATAGAGGATTTAGATCGTCTGCATCCACTCTCTTTAGTTTTCTTCGCAATACAAGTGTACTGCGCACGTACCTGGGTCTGGTTTGAGCACATACTGCATTTGCGACTCCGCTTCCTTCAGTCCCTGGACAAAGTTCGACAAAATCCCATAGCGAACCAAAGACGTAAGGAGCATGCGGGACTTGTCCGAGCGGCACAACTGAGCGAGGGAGTCCAACAACATGAAAGCGACAGTCTTCCAAACTTCAGTGCCATCGATTGCGTCCCGAGATATGATCGTGACCAATCTTTCGAGCACATTTTTCAACGCAGCCAGCGTACCAAGCTCTAGCGCCGATGCATTCGTCGCAGGCTTTGGCGTCCCGCGCACGGATCGAGAATCATTTAGGGATAAATCATCACGCGAAGAGAGAGCAGAGAGGGACATCGACATTGACATTGACATCGATAACGAGTGCTTCCCAAACACCTCCAGTGACGCATCTCCCGAAGATCTCTGGTCACTCCCTCCAATAAGGTGGAAGTAATTGATCAAAGAGGCGTATAAGTTGCCACGGACCAATTCGGAACGGTTGTTGTCCAGGATGCAGTCAAGGATGCTGCGAAGAAGCGCATACAGTCTCTCTGCAGGCAAAGAGCCTGCGTCAGTGTCTCCGCCGGCGGATTGTAGCATAACTTGGTGACGTCGATCTTCGCGTAGCTTCGTGATGCAAGACAGCACTGCTTCCGAAAGCAGAACTGCGGTGGGCTCCTGGATGTCGGAGGAACGAATGCAGTAGGTAGAACGTGCAATAAGTCAAAGAGCATGTTCTCGCGCCTGTCATGCGGCAGACGCTGGAAGCACTTCGTAAGGGTGATGTCCAATACCCTCCACCACGCTTCATATCCGGTAGCAACAGCAAAAGCAACCTCACGGCGATGATTCTCGATTGCACAACTCTCCAAGACGTACGAGGTCTCAGCGTTCAATTTGTCAGCGTGCGCGCTATTGGTGATTCGGCCTTGGGCGTGGAGGAGGGAACGTCGAGCGAGAGTTAACAGGGATAA